TGCTTCTTTCCCCCTGCCTTCCTCCTTCCCCCTTTCCCCACCCTTTCTCCTTTCCCTTCCCTTCCCTTCTCTTCTTCTTCTTTGCCCTTTTTGCATCTTCTATTTGAAGTGGCTCGGGGTTTGGCCTCTCTCGGTTTTCACCAACGTTGGCACAATATTTACCTTCTCTTTACCTTAGCCTTCCTTCCCTTGGCCCTTTACCTCATTCCTCCTTCTCAGATCTTCCCTTCCATTTTCCCTTCTCTTTTGCCTTCTGTTCTGCCTTCCCTCCTCCTTCCCCTTCCCCTTCCCTTCCCACCTTTCCTTCCTTCTACCTTCTCTTTACCTTTACCTTCCTTTCCTGTACCTCCTTCCCCGTCCTGCCTTCCCCCTTCCCCACCCTTTCTCCTTTCCCTTCCCTTCTCTTCCTCTTCTTTGCAGTTTTTGCGTCTTCTATTTGAAGTGGCTCGGGGTTTGGTCAACCAACGTTGTGCCCAAAGTTGTGCCCGGAATTGTTTGTTCCACCTGGCCCTCTTCTATTTGAAACCCTCCCGGCGGCAAATTTCCAAGCCCTTCAAATAGAAGATTGGCACAAGCAATTTCTTCTATAATAAAACCATGTACTATATACGCATCAGGCTTTGAATGTTCTACTGGCGCCTGAGGTGCCTCCGTGAACTCGGGAACTGAGGGTGGCCCGGCGGACGCCATCTCCAAGCGCAGCACCCTCAATGGTCGGGGACTTGGGCGAGTCGTCCTCAGCCTCTCTATCATTGGACTTGGGCGACTCTGCGTCGTCCTGCACAAAACATCGCAAAATATGATCGCCAAGAATTTGTAGAGAGTTCGAATGCAGTGACGCTATAGAAACGCAAACAACGGCACCTTCTGCTCGGTCTCATCTGCCTGGCCCTGCCGTTTTGGGATGAACTCAGACTCATACCCAACCGTGTGAAAGCCAAAAGGAAACAATTTTGTGAATAATTATATATGTATTTATAGTATTTACTATATATACAGTCGTGTTTAACAGCCTGATTCTCCACAGAAAGAAAGGATTTACACGCACAGAGTGCAACGAAACGCAGCTTCTCTTTCGCTCACCTCCCATTGGCAAGGCATCCAGGCCATCTCGCCGGAAGGCATCCAGCCCACAACCTGACATCAGCAATCCAGAAGATCTCGGTGAGTGCCCCAGATGTTGGAGGTGAAGACTGAAAACATCTGAAAACTGAAGGCGTCCAAAGGCTGCATTGGCGAGAAATGAAGGAAAAGCCATCACTGCACCAGCAGATCGATCGATCACTGCACCAGCAGTTTCGTAGACTTTACCAACCCACCAATCTTGCGTTCGAAACCTGGAAGCCATAGCCCGGCCACATTCCGCAGTAGTTCATGCCTGCCATTGGCAAGGCCATTGGTGCTTTGTGACAAAGAGAAGACTCTTGCTACTTCTCTCTATTTTAGTGTGATGTCCAGAGGAGCACTTTGAAACATCACTGTGAGTCTCATGCAAAAGGAGGGTAACTGGCTTGGCTTGTCCACAGTTGTCCACTGCCAAATGAGCATGAAACTCACAACTTCTGGAACCCATGAATTAGTTATCCGGCAAAGTCGGCTTGCTGCAGTGGCAGTGTGCTGGCTTTCATAATGAATTCACCCATCGAACACACTGCATAACACGGAGCCTTGATCGACCCACGGAACAGGGACGTAGGAGTTTTTCATGTCGCCTAGGCAGAGGAAAAACAGCAAAAGGAACCTAAGTGCAATGGCCTCCCTCGTAATGGCTATGGCCTCCAACCTATGAATAGCGATGGCCTCCAACCTAATAGTCATGGCCTCCAATTTGATAGCCATGGCCTCCAACCTAATAGCAAAAATCTACAACCTAATATCGATGGTCTCCAACCTAATAGTCATGGCCTCCAACCTAATAGCCATGGCCTCAGCCTGATAGCCATAGCCTCCAGCCTTATAGTCATGGCCTCCAACCTGATAGCAAAGGCCTACAACCTAATAGCCATGGCCTTCCACCTAATGGCCATGGCCTCCGACCTAATAGCAATGGCCTCCAACCGAATAGTGATGACCTCCAACCCAATAGTGATGGCCTCTAACCTAATAGCGATGGCCTCCAACCCATTAGCAATGGCCTCCCTCCTAATAGCGATGGCCTCCATAGCGATGGACTCCAACCTAATAGCGATGGCCTCCAACCTACTGTAATAGCAATGGCCTCCATAACGATGGACTCCAACCTAATAGCAATGGCCTCCATCATCATAGCGATGACCTCCAACCCAATAGTCATGGCATTCAACCTAATAGTCATGGCCTCCAACCAAATTACTAGCGATGGCCTCATCGGGGCAAGATTCTTCTTTGATGAAATGAGCCGGCACATTTCTCTGGCCTTTTCTACAAATTCACATTCCCGAGCCTTAAGATTGGGGTTGGAACTTGCAAATCTCTTTCTACTTGTCTATGGTCTGACCCGCCATCAAGTAGATTGTGATTATGATTTGTGGTGAGGCAAATAGATGAGCCTCGAGTCCCAAGACGGGGATGCGATGGGATGCTTGGAGAGCAGGCATGCTGGTGCACAAGGCTTTGTGACTTCATTGCATCTCAGCGACTCTCATCCTGAGACCAGGAGCTCTCAGTGCGCGCCCAGGTGTCTCCCCTGAGCGAAGTGAAGTGCATCTAGAAGGAGCCTTGTCTAAAGTCTCGAAAACTCTCTCTTCATCTTGTTCCCATTTGTCTGTTGGATGAGCAAGTACATGGCCGAGGACAACCTGGATAGTTCGTATGTCTGACTACCCGAGGTCATTCTATCCGAAGGACATCTATACCAAGCCTGTTCGGACTGTAGACTATTGTTGTAGATCCACGAGCCCAGTTGACAGGTGGGTGCTGAAGACCCCTCACGCAAGTGCGTCCCTTTCCTTTACTGCTCATCAAGCGGCTCCACTGACTCCGATGCGCTCATTCCTGAGCAGAAAAGCGGACTTCGGGTTTCTGGTCTTCCTCCTGTTCTAAGCTAACAACATCTTCAGTCACATTCACAAAATCATAACCCATGATGCTGAAATGTCAACTCTGCAGACCATCTCCCGTGCCTGAATTGTAATCACGCATCTCCTCTTGACTGTGAGCGAACCTGTGTGGAAGCTCAGCAGGCCAAAGCAGGGCAGTGCCACGATCTGATAATCTATAGATAATAGATATCTATAGGTAGGCTTCATTCACAGGATGAATATCAGGAAAAGTGAAATGCTGAGGACCAACTTTGGAAAGACTGCGCGACTGCGTGTGGCTCAGATCTACCATGCCTGCAGCCAGGCCCTTCCTGGCAAGAAACAGAACACACCAAACAGCGCAGCCATCCTAGCATCATGATGGTGGATGGTTCACTTGCCAAGTCTAGTAGGCATGTACTGAGGCCGCGTGAGACACTAAATAAGAGTACATTAGATTTCTGGCAATATTGCAATTTTAGTCAATGCAGAGTCAATGCACAAGAGTTTGTTTAGCAAACATAGTCTTGGAATCGGGGTGGGCACTCTGATTTGGTGAGTCCATCATTGAAAACTGGAGCCGTGTTCAACTTCGAGGCCTTGCACTTGCCCGACTTCGCTAAGCTTCGACCTTGGGAATGCAAATGACACGTTGTTTTTGTGTCATTGTGGCTTGAAATTGAACACTGTCGTGCAATTGTCATACAGCACAACCTTCGTCGAAAGCCTGGTTGGTGATGTCCTCTCGTCGAAAGTTGCACAGTCTGCTTGGCTTTGATGTCTGAGAAGACTGTGCAGCTCCAACAGATTCAGTTTGAAGCTGGGCATCTGTGTTTTCCAACTCTGAAGAACATGGTCATCTCCAGCGGAGGAAACGGCTCAGGTCACGGCAAATACGTGTCCGGTAAAGGTTCGGCTTCTCGCGGAGTTGCGACTCATCATGCGCAAAGTGGCACTCTTCCCCACCTCAGTGACTGATGGCTCTTCTCATGGCTTTCGTCTGGCCTGCTCGATCTGAATTCCATGCCCAAGGCACGCTCGCAGCGCCCTGCCATGTAAAAGCGGCAAAGGCTGGTGTAGCGGAACGTCTCCTAACCAGTGAAAACAGCTTCGAGAAGTCACATCTGCACCGTTTCTCGATCTCTTAGAGCGTTCATCAAGGAAGTCCTGCTTCTGCATCTTGATGGGTGACAAGCCTCGGAAGTGAGTGGTGTCAAGCGGTCATGGCTTGACACGGTCCACTCCGGCAAGTTAGCTGAGATTCGCTTGTGTGTCTGTACAACACTCACTTCAACCAAATGAGAAAGTTTGGGTCAAATTTGGGTGCCAGCTCTGACAAATAATGCCCTCAAAGCAACACTCGATCTTTCATCTGCTATCCATAAACTCACTCGTCAAAGGAAGCAAACCTTGTGTGGAGATGTGTGGAGATGGAGGCAGCTGTGTTGGTCAAAAAGAACTAGACAGTCTAGGCAAAAGTAGCAAGCCAACTAGGATTTTGAGGGACAACGGAAGGGCATAATCAAATACCACAGCCCCAGATGATGATATTTGATTGGGCATTGTGCTTTCATAGAGACTGACCGCCTGACCGCCTGAGTGTAGATACTGACAGTTGTATGAAACGTGCCATCGCGTCTGCTGCATCATGCCATGCGTACGCAAAACCCTCTGTAGGTCCAGCTGCCAACCCAGCAGACTCAGATAGACTTGGCAAGATGTCATAAGCATGTTGCAAGAGGGGAGCACCAGCTTGAAACACGTCTCAGCTGTAAGCACAGTCAATTGGTCATATTCATATGGAACGAATGATCAAGATTATGTATATTTAATAACATTGTGTGTATGTGTGTATATGTATATGTAATTATATGTCTATATATATATGTGTGTGTGTGTGTAATTAATGCCTATAGATATTATTACTATATATGTACTGTATGGTGATAATGAGTGCAAAACAAATATAGTTCCACCATATCAGTCTGAGGTATGGTCTCCTCCTGAAGAATGTCTCTCCCACAGGAATAGACCGCACTATAAACAAAAAGCCCTGGGTGAGACCAGGGTGTCGTTGACAAGTACATATATAACATACTGATACTGTACTGCATGCGCAGTGTGGTTGCGTATGCTTTCAAGTAGCGCCATCATGCAAAAGTGGTGCAGAAACAACAAATGCATTGAATACATCCTGGCATGCAGGGCCTTCAGGGACTCACTAATACTAATAATGAAAATTTGAGATTTGAGAACCCTGAGCCATCACAATCCATGGAATGTTTGTCTACACGCTTTGACCCAAATAGGGCCAGGGAACTGAAAGGCCAAGCAGTGCAAGGCAGTCGCCCCAAAGCTGGAATGGCTGCAGAACAAATGCCGTGAAACCTCCGTAGCAGCATGCCTGTAACAAGTCCTGAACTCGTGGCCAGACCAGTCATCAACCTACTAGGCCTATCTAGGCTCTAGCTGTCAAACCAGCTGACCTTCGGATTCATAAAAGTTTAATCCAAACATCATAAAACCTTTGATCCCAGTGATTCTGCATTGCTAGTTCCCTTCAAAGAGCACAGCTTCTCAATCAACATTAACAAGAGAGGAACTGGGGCCATTTGCATTTCCCTGCTCTTGGTGCCTTGGAGCTATTTGTTTGCCAAGAAACTTAAGTTTTACTCAAGTGGAATTCTCATTTGTCCGCCCAACCATCTCCAATGACAACTTCCCCCGCACCGGCTGGAATGATTAGGAGCACCCAATACATGACGCTTCCTGGCATGGCTTCGATGATGAGAACGTCAGCAAGATGTCGTCTGCTTTGACTCTCTTCATTGCTCAAAAAGCAAAAGGCACCCAGCTGGGGAGTTGCAGCTCACATCCCTGAATCGCTCATAATGACCTTTCGGAATGCTCCTCTGTTTCCTTGTCTTCATGGCAGTCCCGTCCCTCGTTTCATGTATTTTCCACCGACAAAGGTGTTGCCTGGAATTCCCTGGAAGTGCCTCGAAAAGCCGTAAGGGTCAGAAGCACGGCCTTCTTCCTCAAGACATGGCATCGATCGAAAATGTGACCCAGAGCCATGGGGGAAAAAGAAACCCACTGGCCATCGGCCGAGGATCGATCTGTCCGGGCGAACAATGTCTGAGAACATTGCATGCTGGCCTTCCCATGTTGTTTGTGAAATTCAATGAAACTTTAGAGTCCGTTATATACATAATGCACGTGATGAAACTAGGGAACTACCCAGCTCAATGCAGGTCGCAAACTGTTAGAACTCTGTGAACCGCACATACAAGCCCGGCTCCACAGAGAGGGATCGACTTCGCCTCGCACAATCAACCGTCATGAAGCAGTCAAGCCTAAATAGCCCAGCAGATGAAAAACGCTGGCTGTAGCAGCTAAATTGGTAGCCTAACTAGCGAATATCGAACTGCAGTCTTAGCCTTACTATCGTATATCGAACTGCAGTCTCAGCTTGCACCAAGAATATTTGCTCTCTGAAAACAAACATTGCTGCTAGCCACATAAACATCAAAAGAACGTCAAACATTTAGCTATGGTATACTGTGGTCATGCCTTTCATGGACCTTGTCTTGGAACAAACAGCCAACAAACGTCCGTGAACCTGGGGAGACACTTTTCGTGAACAGCGATCTCCAAGTCTGAGACCGTGGAGTCGGGGCCCCATCAGCATCGGTTCTTCGTTCAGAGGGCAGGAAGCTGTTCTCATCATTCTTCCTGCCACAGTCACTACACAACATGCATCGTTTTACCTGAGGGGATCTCAAAGTCTCAAAGGTGGGTGTCAGCAAATGGGATTTGGTAGAGACATGTAATTAGAGACTCAATCTTTGTGTCCGTTTGATATGTCGCCCAGATTCCAGAAGGAATCTCCCAAAACGTTTGAGCTCTCCACAATCTCATGTCGCTCCAAGAAAAAGCCTCTTCCACAACATGTCTCAATACAATGGGCCGGCAATTGAGATCTGTTTCTTTCCTAAGCTACTTATATGTTTGAGGAGTTGAATGAATTAATGCTGCTTCAGCATGTACGTCCATCACAGGCTTACTCACAAAGGCCTCTGCAACCTTGCTGATGGCGTGCCGGGAATTGACTTAGTCGCAGCACCGCTTTCTTGCGGGGCGGCTATAATGACCCATAGGATTGTTGACGACGACGACGACGACGACGGCGACGGCGACGGCGACGGCGACGGCGACGGCGACGGC